AATGAAACGTGCATTTTTGTTGAAAGTCATCTCAGAGAGAGAGAGAGAGAGAGATATAGAGATAGAGAGAGAGAGGGAGGGGGGGGGGAGAATGGAGTGAGGGAGCTCGTCAGTATACTGAAATCAAAGAAGTCAACTTTGTTTCTCTCCCGCTGTGTCATTTGTATTGACTTGCTAAAGGCTTGACACCCCAATCGTCTGTTTGTAAACACTTCTGTGCAGATATTACTGAAACACGTTGATCAAAGGTGCATCATTATCAATGCCTTCCACCCCTGGCAGGGTAGAGGCCACATACAAGCTCCTTCCATTTATCTCTGTCCTGGGCCATCCTTCCTAGCGCGTTCCAAGTGAGCTTCATCTCTCTCATGTCCCTTTCCACACATCTCCTCCATGTTTCCCGTGGCCTACCCCCTGTCTCGTGCTCCCTGTGGGTTCCACTGCAGCGACTGTCTTGTGATGTTTCCGCTGGGCTTTCTGAAGGTGTGTCCCATCCATTGTCTCTTTCTTATTACTACTTCTTTATCCTCTTGTCCTGTCCTTTCCCACAGCTCTTCATTTCTTATTCTATCTTGCCACTTAATTCTTAGGATACTCCTCATACATCTGTTGATGAAGGTAAGGACTTTATCCAGTACTGTTTTTGTTGTCTTCCAAGTTTCGCAGCCGTAGAGGAGCACAGACTTGACATTGGAGTTAAAGAGTCGAATCTTGGTGCGCAGTGAGATGTTGCAGCTTTCCAGACTTTAGATAACTGATTGAATGCTGACCTTGCCAGGCTTTAAGTCGCCAAACTTTGACGGTTATTTTTTTCTCTTCGGTTACCTCTGACACCAGGTGACCCCCACCTTATTCAATGGCAAATATCTCAAGTTCTGCTCTCGATGGACGGTTAGTTGTTCACCAGCAGAGAGAAAACAAAAGACGAACAAGCTTTAAGATCACACCAATAACTCCAAATGCCCCCAAATTGACGATCGCCTGATTTCACCGAGTTTTGATGTAAAATGTCAGAGAAAATGGAGCCGTTTGAAGTCCAGAGGACTGGGATGAGAGAGAGAGAGAGAAAGAGAGAGAGAGAGAGAGAGAGAGAGAGAGAGAGAGAGAGAGAGTGGAGGGAAAGCGAATGTTTGTTTTGTTCCTAGTGATGTTTTACGAGAATCACTCTCGGGTGTGTTATGGAGGTTCCTCTTTGCCTTTGATCTTGCCACACACTCTAGTAACGCCCCCTCTT